ATAAAAAGATGCCTTGCACATGATATATTCAGGTATAGTAGCCCATCTGGTACTTAGCAAGGTCACTGACATTGCCAGGAGAGTGAATGTTATTGAGCTGTAAGACTAGCTTTGTGGGTTGTTTTCATCATATTTTTCTGATTGGACTATAAATATTTTAAACACCTACACCATGTCTGTTTACTGTGAATACATGGGACATATAGATCCAACATTATGTTTTTTGCAGTTTGTACACCCCACTATTCATATAATGGTCCTTTATATCTTTACATTCAGTTCTACATCTAGGTTTACTTTATGTCATGAAAAAACATATTGACCTGATCTTTTCAAAGCTTATAAAGATAAAGTTTAAAAAACTTGTATTTTGTGCTCTTGTGTTGTGTTGCCAGAAGATTGATAAAAAGTTGTTAAGTGGTATACGGCAACGACTATTTGTTCTAAACGTATATGTCTTAACATACTAGTATTTCACATAAACCAACTAACTTATAAAAAGTATTTGTGTTCTTATCTATATCAATGCATATCTGATAAGTTGATTGAAGTAATATGATTTGTCTGTGTATACAGTACATCCACACAGACTGTGCTGCATACAACATACAATGACCTTTAGTTTATGTACAAAGCCGGCCGGCACTTGTTTACTATATTTACCACTTAGAGTACATAGTGGAGGTGAATGATAACGATTACCCAGACTAGTAACTACCCAATGTTATAGCTGCGCTGTTGTTGAGCGCTGATGGGAGAAAGGCAGACATTTACTTTTTAAAAAATATGAATTTGAAGGTTGAATTTAAAATGTAGTAATATAGTTCCAAGACAATAGAAAATAATTACCTTAGCTACTATCTTTAGAACTTAGGCCTCATCGTGGGCCATTCACACAAAATTGTTTCTTTTTTTTATAGAAGAATTTGTTTTCAGTTTGTTCACCACATTTGAGGTTTGAGGTCATATTTATTTACTTTAATACCATTTGACTCCTAATGAGACAATTTAAACCTCAGACATAGAATATCAAAACTAAAAACAAATGTTGCAATTATTTTATTATTTTCACCCTTAATCATACATTGTTTCTTATGGTACTGTATATCATACCCGTTTCAATAGTATGATTGAATACAGTATTTTTATAACCTCTGAGTGAGCTCAGGGTAGATTTTTCAAGAATTAGGTGTCTGTTTTAACCTTGTATTCTAGGGATGTGTTCATTCATACAGTACACACTTCTCAAAGAATACCTTAAACTTGGAGTATACTAGCCAATATCCTCATTGTCCTATCCTATTATATGATATATTTTTGTGGAGCTATGCATAATACTCACTGGCGGATTAGGGGGGGGGGGCTGGGGGCCAGGCCCCCCCCCTTGGGTGGGCGAAGAAAAAAAAATTGGGCCCAAAAAAATTTTGGGCCAAAAAAGGCCTTGAGGCCCCTTGGGTGGGCGAAGAAAAAAAAAATTGGGCCCAAAAAAAATTTTGGGCCAAAAAAGGCCTTGAGGCCCCAAAAAGTGGGCCTTTTTGGTCACTACCGGGCCTTTTAAGGCCTTGTTTTTTAATTTCAGGCCAAATTTTGAAGAAAATTGGCCTCAAAATTTCAAAATTTGGGCCCACTTTTGGGTAATAGGGGCCCAAAAATTTTTTTTCTCTGACTTGAAATTTGGGCCCCCCCTCTTGTTGATTCCCAGATCCGCCGCTGATACTGTATATACGGTACATACAATACTACATACAATCCAATATGTTGGACATGTTAATGTCTATGAACTAGAAGAGACCTTTGAGGGTTCCCTTTCCACTTGCCTCACTAGCAGAACTTATGCTATCAGGAATGAGCAATTCTTGTAGAAAGATATACTCAGTTGCCATAGTTACCTGACCTTGTTATGCCTCCCTTAGGAATAAAATCTGTCTTTGGGAAATAAATCATTTTGAATTCCTCCGTTAAGGCCCTCTGCTTTATGTTGAATTGTCAAATTATGAGTTTAACCTCATAAAAACAAGTGAGTTTCATTAAGTAAGGCCATAGCTGGTTAATTATATTTTATCACATTTGCTGATCAATCATATATTGATTCATAAAGTACATTTGGGTTGAAAGTAATTTTAACAGATGATTTGGATTTTATTTTTTGGCCTTAGGAAACCTTGAGCTACCAGCTCAGAATTAGTGATGGCCATTCCCTCCATATTTATCTCATAAAACATGTTATGCTAAACAGATACATACAGTAAACTCTGAAATAGCCTATCTGGAATTTTGGGTGTTGTGAATATCGTTTCTATGGTAACCAAGCATTCTTGCAGTGTGGCTAAGACTGAAGATAAGTGAAGTTACAAGCAAGGTTTAATTTGGCATAGCTGTGTGGCAAACAAGCCATGATCTAGAATAGTGAAGCAGAGAAAGATAGCAATAGTAATCAGGATTATCTAACAGAGCAGGTATCAGTAGCTGTACTAACTGATTTCTGGGTATCATAAGCCTGCATCACAGATGAGGCAGCTTCATCAAAACTGTCATACACCTTGTAACTAGAGATTATCACTGGTTAAACATACAGAAAATATGACTTTCCTAAAGAGTATTAGACAGTTCATTAGTCAGGATTAGTTCATCTCTGGTAAAAATAGCAGGAAACTAGGATTCATTTGTAGCAGTAGGTTTATAGGGTTTCTGGTGGTTCTGTTGAAGATTTAGGATATATACATCCAACAGATTTTGAAGGATTTCGGATTTCGGAAATATATAACTGTTATTTCGAAGGTAGGCTATACTTTTGAGCTGAACTAATTTATTTGCAAACCTTAATTGTGTTGATGTGTTGGATTGCGTATGTAACAGATATGAGCTGATACTGTTTTGGCACTATCTTCATTATGGAGATTACGGTATGGTGTATAATTCACATCACACCCAAATCTCAACGATGGAATGTACTGAGAAAATACATAAAGGTTATTACTGGGAGGTTTTGGATACAGAGTTTATCCCAAGGTAAATAAGTTATTCTGAGGGAGATACACATATTTCTCGATAGATAAACCCTGTATTAAAAGTGGGAGTAGGGTGGATACAGCCTGTATTTATCCCGGTCTCGGTCCTTGCCAATCACTCACTAGATACGCTATATATCCCCGCCTATTATGTACCTAGAATCTCAGTATGGAATACAGGGGAACACATGTATAGTCAAATATAAGAAGAAGAAGAAGAAGAAGAAGAAGAAGAAGAAAAGCAAATAAGGGTGATATAGGCTGAAGGTACCAACCAATCTGGTTGTGATATAAAGACAAAGCAAAGAACATTTGAAACCCTATACCATAGATAGAATAAACTGACTTCCAACTTTCACTTGATTAGTAGAGAACTATATGCTGATTTATGAACCTTCTTAATAACAATGGTCATATCCACCACATAGTGTCATTTGCTGTTTGTATGATACTATTGATCTGTGTGTAGTTGTAGTGTTGTTATTAAAGTGTCAGTATATAAAATAACATTACACATGGGAGTATCTCCAAATAGCATGACATTATTAGATGGCATCATTTCATTTCATTCTAACTCATATGGGGATTGCTTTGCAATTTCATTTGAAGGTTAGTTAGAAATTAGCCTGCGTGCAGAGTCTAGTTAAACTACACTCTGCCTAGTAGAGACCATATTACAGTTTATTAGCCCCGCCCCCACGACGGGTACCGGTGACAGTTTGGGTAAATCACTTTTGACCTACGCGCTGACCTTCCACCAGTCAGCGAGCTTGAAGAAACATATGCCAAATGCGTTCTAATTAAATAAGTGCATGTCATTGGTCAATTCCGGGCTCAACGATGACGTCAGAAGGAATGACCATATATAGAACGTCGGTCAAATTTGGCCGACGATCACTGATTGGCGCGGTGAGTTCACAGGTTTATTTTAGTTTGAAAGAGTGAAGACGGAGCTCTCTTTTAAGAAGTGGAGTCAAACGAATGCAAAGGGTAGTTAGAAATGAATCAATTATGACAAGTACTGCACTTAAAATTGTTTCTGGTGTTGTAATATTGAGGTCATACTCAAAAATGTTTCTGATAAAAACATAATTGAGAATGATATAACAGCTGAACTGCTGCATCTTTAAATTAAAAGTGCAGCCTACATGAGCGAAACAAGAAGCATATTTCATATAACAACTGGATATGCCACTTGTCTGCCTACTTCCTTATGCCATCAATATCAGATGTATATTTTATATTTGGTGCTAATACATGTACTTATAATTCCATCCTTTGAAAACCTCTTGATAAAATCTATTGTTGTAATTGTCTTTACAAATGAATATATACAACATAGGTGTACATGTATACAGGGTGGCCCCAAAATTAGAACATTATCAGTTGTTTTGCAGTATGCAGTGATAATAGAGTTTGGAATGTTAATGTAGAGTGATGACTCAAGTTAATTAAGATGGATCTCTTCTTAGTAATATCAAGCTATTAGAAAGGTTATTAAATAAAAGCAGTCTCTGATGTCCTTGAAGTAGAATTTATATTTATTTTGAAGCATATACATGTATTCTGAGGATACTTAGTCCAGTGATTCAGTCAGCCACATTATAAGGGTCACTCTGTGCAGATATTGACTTTCATCATCTAAGATGTTTGTACATCCTAGCCCTCAGAAATCAAAGCAGATTAATCAATGGATTAGCTTAAAATATTATAGTGTGAGGCCATATTGTATAGGTCTTGGTGTGTTATTCATAGTTGATCAATGAGTAGGTAACAACTGAGCCAATATGAAGATGGTATTTAATATGATTTGGATCATATGCTACATACATGTATGAAATTAGATTCAAACAGTTAAATGATTCATATAATGTTCTTGTTGTCCGTTGGAATTGTTGTTTCTTATTTGATCTGTGATGACTTGAACTATGAACTGTTAATGTTTTGACTCAACATGAAAGCGCATATCATGTATTTCCTTTATATTTCCAGGATCTTTGTGCATGTAGTGCAGGGCGGGCTCCACAATGACCGAGGTAGAGCAAATCTCGTCAGGTATCCGCTGGGACCCCAATAACCAGCAGGATAATGGACAGATGTTGATTGAAGATGATGAGTGGGAGGGAGGAGACAGTACATCCAAATTGTTTGAAAGATCCAGAATCAAGGCTTTAGCAGGTATGTATGCTTGACTATGAATCCATAAACTGAGATCAGCCAGTGAGATTCAGCTATGTATCTCTTTATCTCTTATGAAATAGCAATGTAAGTCAAGATGAACATTTTCCAAGTCTCCCTCCTTTGGCCTGTCTTGTCCCTCATATGTAAACTTGAGTGAAGGAAGGGTAGTGATAGAGGTTAATACAGAGACTTCTGTTGCAATTACATTTTTGAAATACATGATTATTTTGAAAGTTTACCATTTATATCAGAGCTGTAGGGGTGGGGGAGGTAGGGAAAAGATCATTTCTGTTGGTGCGATCTCAATGATATAGTCCTTTGGTTGCCATATATATGCAATGCAAGGCTAATATTGTTCAACTGATTGCTTTAATGTTAGAGGCGTATTTTTCACTAAATTCATTTAGCAGTCTGTGTCTAGAACAGAGTGACTTTTATGTTATCTGTAAATATCACTGAATCATCAAACATTGTGTTATCATATTGATCAAATGTCAATTCAAAATTGTTAGTTGGTTGGTTGAGCAAGTGGTCTTAGTGTCTTCAATATAACCTGATTTTAGTATTCATCAGTTATCATATCAATAAAATATTATGAACTCTTGAAAAAAGCTTGTTTCAAGTCTGATGATATCATATGATAAATATTTGATGCATTATTCTGTTAGAACAGAACAAATTGTTTACTGTTCAATAAATGACCTTAGCTATCAATATTTGTGATTTTGCTGTTTGGTGATTGTGCCGAACTCATAGCTTATTGAATAAGTGGTATATATATGTACATATACTGTATTCTCTGTAAGTAGCTCCTACTAGAAGCGCCCACCCGCTTCACAAAATTCAAGAAATATTGAAAATAACTAAGGAATCATGAATATATAAGAAAAAGGATTGAAATTCTGATGAATCAAGTGGATAATAGAGTACTAACACTAAATTTGATAAAAATGACACATTATAGTTATTCCAAAGTAGTCTGAAATGAATGAAGGAAATGTTGAAATTAGAGTGTTATTTTTTACATTTAACCAACTAGCGATCGTCAAGGTCATGTCAATGTCATGAACATTTTTGGGTTTTACATTTCTTCTTATTCTTATGACTTTTACATGAAAAATGGTATTCTATCATTAAACAAGTACTATGAGGTAAAACAGAGAATATGGTGTATATCATTCTATAATTGTTCCACTTATTATTTAGATATACTATCCCACATCTATACTCAAAATATGGTCTATAGGCTAATGAAGTAAAATGTCTATATGAAAGGTGAACAAAATTGGCCGTGAAGTGTTTTGTGTTTATTCATTGCTATTGAAGTGTTTAATGGTATTACTATACCTTTTACATTTAAAGAATATTTTGAAAACGTGACAATTATAGAGCACACTAGCAATGCAGTACCAGGAGACAAATTAAATAGATATCATGTCTAATGCTTCAGTAACTTAAAATACATTTTTTTCACTTTTGATTTGTACATTTTTAATGTGGCTAGGCCTATGTTAACCAATGCATTAAATGTATAACATTTAGATATTTTAAGTAACCATGCAAAAATGATTAATGTACGTGTAAAATAACAGGTCCCCTTTACCCACCTTTATCTATAGAAAATAGAGTGTTTTAATGTCAACCAGTACCTGAAGAAATCTAAGTATGAACCTTTGCAGTGACCTGTATACAAAAACTTGTATTGTATTTAAAACATTTAAATCAGAGAGTTGAGGTTGTTTACCATACAGATGATAGACAAGCGGGAAGTATTTGAGAGACACTAAATTGAAACATTTGCAGAAGTATGTTCATTCACTTCATTGGTGAAAATAAAATGTACAACTAGATATATATTGTTTAGGGGAGAAGCTGCCAAATTTGAAATTATAATACTTTTTGTCACATAATTGGATATATTTTGACAGTCTGAATACATGGCTCTTGGATTAATGGTGCCTTGTCAAGTACAGCTTTGCAGCATGCTGTTGGTGGTATAGATCTAAAACATACTGATCAACTGGCCTCTGATATAAACAAAGCAAAGGAGATATATGTCAATCATAACATTACATGTAAACAGCTTACAGATGAGTAAAGGGATGTAATCATCAGATACAGATATTAAACTGATGGTGCCAAGTAATGACCCATTTAAAAAACATTATATGAAGCAGGCACATGCAATCAGTACTGTATACATACTCTGTAATGCAATATGTAACAAGGAACCTCTGAACATGATCAATGGAATCTACTCACCTTGTTCAGGAACAAAAATGAATTGTTTTTGTGATTGATTAATTATTAAGGACAATACAGCACCTACAAGACTCTACCTGAAGCGGATGCAGTTAATGTTATTGAGTGCAATAAAGTGAAAGTAAATGCACATATGAAACACTTATAAAGTTGTCAGTTGTAGGATTCCAACATATCAAATGAGTCATTGAATTATAATGATGGATATTATGGATTTAGATTGAAATGTGCATTATCAGAATTTCAAATTTACATAACAATGATATAGAATTGGAAAGCTGTGTGTCTGGAATACCTGAATGCAATAGAGATGAATTTGACTTACATTATGGTAGATTATTGATTCAAACATGACCGTGCTCTATTCGAATTTCTCAACCAATCAGAATGCAGCATAGCCAATATAGAACGTTCTCTAATTCTCCATATATGCACGACCATGCTCTATTCAATCTGCAATTTTCATTGTTTTGAGTGACGTCACATCTCAGCTGCACATCTGGGGCTCTGTCCGGGGATAGCTGTTCTTTTTTACTCCCTCCGTAACTACTGTTAACAGATGGCTGACTTCAAGTTTATACACCGTATAAAATCTAAAACGAGGAGTAAAATAGAACAGCCCAAACAAATTCTAAAATTTTTCCGGCCGACTTCAGAATCTTGACAGCATGCGTATTCTTCCGTCATGCCCGTTCCACAGACACGGCTTTTACTAATTTTTATGTTTGAATCGGAATAAATAATGATAGGCCATTCAATATGGTGAAATTCAGCACTCGTTGGACAGAATGTTAGTACAAATGCACTCACCTTCGGTTCGTGCTTTGTACAACATTCTGTCCAACTCGTGCTGAATTTCACCATATTGAATGGCCTATCATTATTTATTCCTTAAATCACTGCATCAATATTAGGAATATTAGACCAGAATCATGCATGTGAGACAAAATATAAGTGTCATATAAGGACATTGACACAGGCTATATTAATGCATGAACAAAACAATGTGACCTCAAAAATTATGACATACCATATGAATCTGAATTAATGTTGAATATTAGCATCAAACACAATAAATGATGAATGATTTCAATCAATTAAAAGCCATCTACAGGTTCTGTCAACATGGAGTTAGGAATCAGGAATTTTACTATACAGGATAGACCATCAGACTTTTTTGAATTAAAACCAACCAAAAGAAAATGTCCCATTTGGGACATAGACAATTCAAACTGTAAAACATTGAAATCAGTCAGAGAACACATAACCCTTATACCTTGTTTGTTATATTAACAAATGATGGATGGATGGAGATATAGTTCAAGAGATGGATAGTGTTTCAGAACTCATAGATTATCGTAAACGCCATGATGAATATATAAACAAGATCCATTTTTATCAAGGTATGGCATTACAGTTCTAAGAAAATGGATGACAGCCACAAATCAGTTTCATTTTGTCACACTGCACCATTTACATTTAGAGTGATATTTTGTATCACTATCATGTTTTATTTTAGTCCTATTGATCTTTAGAATAATCTTTGAATGGTTTCTTAAGCCTACTGTCCACAAAATAAAAGTTTTTTAAAAGTTTATGGCTTAGTTTGTGTAACACCCATTAAGCCTCCTACCAGATCCGCAAGACACATACATTGACATGTACTTGTAGTCTTGTATCCGTGGGTAAAGAGCCAAATCAGATGAGATGGGGAGTGATCTGTATTTGTGAGGATTTTATGATTATTCATTACGTGTATGTCCCATATATTTTATACTCATTTCATCTGCTTCTGCCTTACTACCAAAGGTCATATAATATATGATATTTTCAGATGAGAGAGAAAGTGTACAAAAGAAGACATTCTGTAAATGGGTGAACTCCCATTTGGCACGTGTAGGAGCCCGTATCCATGACTTGTATGTGGATCTAAGAGATGGCCGTATGCTCATCAAGCTCCTGGAAGTCCTCTCAGGCGAACGACTGGTAAGCTACACATGGAGTTTTAAAATAGTAGAGTTACAGTATATGGTTATTAAGATTCACTAATAGTTTGTTTTATTGAGGTGACTATTGACTTATTTGCTTGAATCAATTCACTAATAGTGTCTATGGTAAATAGTGAACCCTAGATGCTAGGAGTATAATATTGCTTTCTCTTATATCACATAAAATGTATATCTTTTCCAAAGGAATGTCTAAATTCTGAATGAAAGCTAAAAGTGCTGCCTTTTGAGTCAGTTGAATCATGAATGTAATTCTCAATGATATTGCATTATGTTTGCAGCCCAAACCAACAAAGGGTAAGATGAGGATTCATTGCCTGGAGAATGTTGACAAATCTCTGTCATTCTTGTATGACCAGCGCGTCCATCTTGAAAACATGGGAGCCCATGATATAGTAGATGGAAACCCCAGATTGACACTAGGTCTCATCTGGACCATCATCCTGAGATTCCAGGTAAGCAAATTGTGGACACCTGATGAAAGATAGACCTGAAAACTAATCCTAATTTGATGTTACGCCGATTCTTATAATTTTGATAAATCTTATAGAAATATCTTAGAGCAGAAGTCTCAAGAAAAACATCTTAAAGTTTACATCCTCTTCCATACTTTCCATCAGCATATGACTCTGAGGGTCTACAGTCAATGGTTCCTACATTGTCTGAGAGGGGTTAAAACTGAAGATGTAAATCCATATACTGTAGTTGTATATTTGATAGCTACATGAGATACATTGTATATTATATAATTATATGTCTCTGTTTTATATTTCCCATCCAATATTCAACAGAAATGATTTTCTGATCATTTCATATTTTTAAAAGATCATCTCTTCAGTTTGAGTTTCTAAATCTGCTCTGTACGTGTTGTTAGTTTAAACATCAATTTCTACTTTTGAATGTTTCTTTAGACTATCATGTCATTCCCCCATGGTCATTTGAGCAGATGTGTTAGAAAATTAGCTAATTGCTTATTAACTTATGGCATTCCAGATTTTGCTCTCTCACCAATTTTGGTCATTCTGAGCTTTCATTGCATTTGTTGGGATCCATAAGTCACCATACATAAGTCAAGATAAGTTTTCACTTGACATGAGCATGTGTAGTGAGGATGACTCTGGTACATATTTAATGCCATTAGCAGTATTAGAAACCATTTTTGAACACTCAAGTTGCAGTGACTGTTTAGACAGTTGCAAGAGATATAAATAAATAGCACAATCTTATGTTGCAAGAAACAGAATACTGTTGAAAGTAACTAATCCTGTTCTAGGATGTTGTTCACTTCAACTGTGAGGTCATACAACACTGTACATGTATTTTCTCTGCTGGGAGAACTCCTTGAGATATGTGCTTGCTTCCACCCATATATACCCTCATAACTCAGGTTGATCAGCAATAACATGCTCTAAGGCTTCCTGCCATCATTGTAACTTGTAAATCATTTAAGAAACCTTTACATAAGGGTTATTTCTTCTTTCACTCTTCTCAAGTTATTATTAATTTATGAATTGAGCAATTAAGACACACATTTTTAGACATGCATTATATTCCCCGGTGTTTAAAGAAGATGAGCACATAATAATGCATTTTATTGCCAAAGCTACCTAACTCAGACATTATTTTGTTTTCGTTGAAGTAGGTTTTCATGTCTACTGTATGCGAGATAACTTTGATAATTATTGATTTTTGAAATTTTGAAAGTAAACTACATTGTAGATTATCTTTTCATGCTATGAATGAAAATGTGAATAATTGATTTATTGAATGAAGAAAAACAGTTACATGCACCCTACATAAGTATGAATTTTAAATACCAAAATTGTGATTTATTGGGAATAGTGCATAATTCAAAGATCTTGTGTTATCAATCTCAAATGACACGTCCCAGAGTAAGCATACAGACTTTATTTGTGAGTCATCATAAAACAAGGGTCAATGTGACATGATATTCATATAGCATCTAATATTCTCTTGGTATCAAGGCTTCATTTTATAGAGCTTCAGTCCTTCATTGATAATGATAGAGAAATTGATTGCCAATGGTTTATTTCAAGTCATGTCTATTAGAATGGTTTATTAAACTAAAGTGGCAGTTTAGTTGGTTAATAAAGGAGAACATTTGTTCTTACTGGCAAGAATCATTGTAATATGCAATACTCATTGATTTGTCAGCCATTGCCAATGCCAAAATAGACAATTGTGTCTATGTTAAAATTCTATGTGAAAAAATGACATTCATTTTTACTGCCAGGTATGTTGAAACTTTTGTTCAAACTTTCTTGTGGTTGAGTTTTGATGGCTCTTGTCTTTATCTGAATGCTGCATTACATCTGTTTTCCTGATTAATGTAAATGGGTAGATAATTTGGACTCATCCTGATAAGGTAGATTCTTTTAAATATGTCATGTACAGTATACTGTATGTTGAATAGTTTAAGGTATATCATCCAACAGATACACCGGGGCAGTGTGACATTAGAGTTGTAAATCAACCTTACTTATATGTATATACCTGGTATACGGTATACATATTCTCAGATAGTCTTATCTTCATTCAGGTTTCAAAAGGTCACCATAATTAATGCTGAATGCCTGATGTCCCTGTCAAACATTTTACTTTCTAAAATGGGAGTATTCAGGCGTTTTGAATTATCTCATGTAAATACATGAGGTGTCATAAATCATATGAACCTTCTATATCTTGTTACTGTTTTATACCGGGTGCACCCCAGTTGTCCGAAACCCAGTTGTCCGAAACCCAGTTGTCCGAAACCCAGTTGTCCGAAACCCACTTGTCCGAAACCCACTTGTCCGAAACCCACTTGTCCGAAACCCATTACTCCGAAAAATATAGTCATCATTTACCAGAGAAAGGGGAGACGTACTAAGCTTAGGCCAGTTTCATGCAATGTATTTGGCCAAATTAATGGCATGGATGCATTCTGATGTTCATAGATCTCTCTCTCTCTCTCACTTTGAATTGCATCCATTGCACGCGTTACCAGAATGGCAGGAACGGGGGATTTATTTTACATTGTGATTCTAAAAAAAGGTTATCAAAACACAATATATATATTATGGAACAGTTTATCTTATCTTCTTCAATCTCTTTTATATAGGCAAAATAAAATGAATCATTTTGAAACAGATAAAATAAGTTTACGCATATAGTACTTTAAGAATAAAACAGTATACATATTACGTTGTCAAAATATTTCGTCGCATTTAATTTCTTAGTCTCTCTATTTTATCAAATCGTAAAAGAACAAAACATTCTTAACTTAATCACTTGGGATCAACTGGAAACGAAGGCAGGCTGTCCTCGTATCAAAATGGATGTTCTCCCATTCGCAAGAAGTTTCATTTTCGCCATGTACTCACTTCATCCTTTTAATTTAATCTCTATTTCTCGAACAGAGCACGTAAATGAAGAATAAGTTTTGGTTTCAAAAGATGTACATGTCAACTTTACTAAATAAATGCCCATTGGCTTGGGAAAGCTATTTTTCCTTTTATGAACGCTCATCACCCATTGGAAAAATGTTGTTCCCTCTCAAAAAAGGCCCATGGGCCATAAAGAAAATTGGTTTAAAAATTGTAGACCCCTATCTATGTATGTTGTGTAAACGTCATTTTACAATGAGAATAACATAATTTAACTTTGTTTGTTTGAACATCTATATCACCTGTATATGAACTTTCGAAGGCTAAACATTAAAGAATTAACGTCTTGACTTAGCATATTTAGCCTAATTTTGCAATGATGTCAACGTTATTCCAATGTTATGTTGTGATTCGCAGAGGTTGCGACAACGAGATTCGTTTAAAAAAATTGTATTTTTCAAATAAGATCCCCTAATTTTCGGAGAACTGGGTTTCGGACAACTGGGTTTCGGAAAACTGGGTTTCGGAGAACTGGGTTTCGGACAACTGGGTTGACCCCTTTTATACCATAAGTAAAGTGGTGTCCCTTATAGTTTATATTGATACACCCCTTTGAATATTTTTGGCTAGTGAGGAATAACAGGATCTGCCAAGTGGCAACTGTTCCATGAGATCACACTGACATTTGAGATGTGTAGCAAATAGCTGATAATTAATTATATCTTGAACATTTGAGATGGTGAATCATATGAAAATGTTTGTTTTTATCAGAACTGGTACAAACTTGGCACAAATTATATTTGAAATTTTTTTAAAGGTCATTGAGTCAGATTCCTCTATTCAGTGGTTATTGTCAACCGTTATATGCATTTTCTCTTAATTCAAACTTATCTCTTTTCAAAGGTATGTTGATTTTGCATTGAATTTATTTGCTTTTTGAGCTTTGGCATATACATGTATATTATACCATATATTTTGTTTGTATAATGTTGATATAGGGATATCTGTGAAATCTTTCTTCAATAATCAGAAAGGGTTTCTCAGATGTTGAAAATGAGAAAACATTAGGTTCAGTTGTGCCCTGATAACTTGTTATTAATAACATCCCAAAGGTGATGCAAGTTCTATCTGCATTCAGATCATTCTCTTTACAGCTCCCAGCCTCACATCTGAAACAGTCTGTGTGATTGTCTGCCAAAATATGTAACCATGAATAGAATACCAAATAATCTGTTAAATATATCTGTATGTGTTGTGCCTGGAGAATAGATCAGTGAAGATTCACATACAAAAAACTAATCATTATAGAATAAAGTTGTTTTGTCATGACATCATCTTGGGGTGATATATTGTTGATTTCCTGTAGTTGTTATCAGTAACAAGGAAAACTTCATAGTTACATTAGCCTCTCTTGATTCAGTCTACTGACTGTGATTCACCCTTCTTCTACAAGGAAGATACATGACAAGGATAGATCCTGAGATATATATCACAACATGCTCTCATGGAAGTCTTAGACCCCTTCAAACTCTTACCACATTCCCGTGCCCCCCCCCCCCCCCCCCCCAGTGTAATATGTGAACAATAGCAAAGATTCAGTCACAGGATTTTACACATTTACTGTACAATATCATACTTCTCCCATAGATTATACTGCTTTCTCATATTGAGTACCTTCTGTATCATTTGTTAATTGTAATAGATGGTCTGGAGGCACAGAAGGATACATTAAGACAATACCAAAACACTAAATCCTAACAAATTATATCTTATAAAAACCAAGTTCAAACTTAACATAGAAATGGCATATTACTTCTAAATAGATACATATACAAAGTAGACTAAAGGGAGAAAAAATCAATATAGTTGTTTCCATATGTTAAATGTCACATGAATCGCATCAGTTTGAATCATAAATGCAGCAATAGATACACATATGAATAAATAGTACAGCAGAAACCTATAAATCTGTTTCAGTTTCATTACATTTTTTATCAAATATTTTCCTGATTCTTAGATTCTCTATCAGGTTTTGATAAGGTGCAACTTTCACTTGGAAGGTATGATAG